AAAAAAGAATGTTTAAAATTAAAAAAAAAATTTTTAAAACTTTTGGAATAACCCCAAAGGAGGGGTTTCAAACCCGCGGCAGACCCCAATGGTTTACAGTCCAGTTTAAATGGCCCCCTCGCGCACCCCTTTTTTAATTTTTTTTTTGAATAAAAAAAAATGTTTAAAATAAAAAAATTTTAAAGCATTTGGAAAACTCGCAGGATGGGATTCAAAAACCCCCGGGGGAGGCCCTGGTTAAACGTCCCCCCTTTAAACCCACTCGGAAACCTCTCTCACCCGGTCTTATTTTAATTTCTATTATCGTTGAATAAAAAAGAATGATTAAGTGAAAAAAATTTTTAAGCATTTAGAATAACTCACAAGGATGGGATTCGACCCGCGGGGAAAGAGCCCAATGGTTTAAAGCATCCATCGTTTAAAAGAAGGCCACCTCGTCTGCGCAGGCCCTTTATTTAATTTCTATTGTTTCGTTGAATGAAAAAAGGATGATTAAGTGAAAAAAAGAAATTTAAAACATTTAGAATATTCACAAGGATGGGATTCAACCCGCGGGCGAGCCCAATGGATTAGCAGTCATCGCTTCCACTGGGCCCAAATCGTCACCGGAAAGTTTAAAATGTAAATTTCTATTATTCGTTGAATAAAAAAAAAATGATTAAATGAAAATAAAAATTTAAAGCATTTGGAATAACTCGACAAGGATGGGATTCAACCCCGGCAGAGCCCAATGGATTAGCAGTCCATCGCCTTAACCACTCGGCACCTCGTCAGCGCAGGTCTTATGTTTAATTTCTATTGATTCGTTGAATGAAAAAAAGAATGATTAAATGTAAAATAAAATTTAAAGCATTTGGAATAACTCACAGGATGGGATTCAAAACCACCGGGCAGAGCCCAAGGGTTTAAGCAGTCACCCGCTTAAACCCACTCGGCACCTCGTCTACGCAGGTCTTATGTTTAATTTCTATTGATTCGTTGAATGAAAAAAAGAATGATTAAATGTAAAATAAAAATTTAAAGCATTTGGAATAACTCGACAAGAGGATTCAAGACAGGGGAGAGCCCAATGGATAAGCAGTCCATCGCCTTAAACACTCGCCACCTCGTCTGCGCATCTCCCTTTAATTTCTATTCATACGTTGAATAAAAAAGGAATGATTAAGTGAAAAAAAATTTTTTAAGCATTTGATAACTCGACAAGGATGGGATTCAAACCACGCGGGAGAGCCAATGGTTTAAAGCAGTCCATCGCCTTAACCACTCGGCCACCTCTTCTACTGGTCTTATGTTTAATTTCTATTGATTCGTTGAATGAAAAAAGAATGATTAAATGTAAATAAAAATTTAAAGCATTTGGAATAACTCGACAAGGATGGGATTCGAACCCACGCGGGCAACCCAAGGTTTAAAGTCCATCGCCTTAACCACCCCGGCCACCTGTCTGCGCATCTCCTTTTTTAATTTCTATTCTTCGTTGAATAAAAAGGGAATGATTAAAAGTGAAAAAAAAATTTAATGCATTTAGAATAACTCGACAAGGATGGTATTCGAACCCACGCGGTGGCCAATGGTTTAAAGCGTCCCCCCTTTTAACCACCCCGGACCTCGTCTACGCAGGTCTTATTTTATTTCTATTTTTCGTTGAAAAAAAAAAAGGAATGATTAAAGTTAAAAATTTTTAAACATTTGGAATAACTCGACAAGGATGGGATTCGAACCCCGCGGCAGAGCCCAATGGATAGCAGTCCACCGTTTAAAATAATGCCACTCGTTGCGATCTGTTTTATTTCTATTATTCGTTGAATAAAAGGAATGATTAATGAAAAAAAAAACATTTAAAGCATTTAAATAAACCCCACAAGGATGGGATTCGAACCCAGGGGCAGAGCCCAATAGTTTAAACAGTCCATCTTAACCACTCGGCCACCTCGTCTACGCAGGTCTTATAATTAATTTCTATTCATACGTTGAATCAAAAAAGGAATGATTAAGTGAAAAAAAAAATTTAAGGCATTTAGAATAACTCGACAAGGATGGGATTCCAACCCACGGTAAGAGCCCAATGGATTAGCAGTCCATCGCCTTAACCACTGCCACCTCTCTCGCACCCCCTTATTTAATTTCTATTATCGTTGAATAAAAAGGAATGATTAATTTTGAAAAAAATTTAAGCATTTAGAATAAACTCACAAGGATGGGATTTGAAACCCACGGGCAGAGAGCCCAATGATTAGCAGTCCATCGCCTTAACCACTCGGCCACCTCGTCTACGAAAGTCTTATGTTTAATTTCTATTGATTCGTTGAATGAAAAAGGATGTTTAAGTGTAAAAAAAATTTTAAAGCATTTAGAATAACTCGACAAGGATGGATTCAAAACTTGCCCACGGGGACGAGCCCAATGGATTAGCAGCCTCCTTTAACCACTCGGCCACCTCGTCTGCGGAGCTACTTTATTTAATTTCTATTTATACGTTGAATCAAAAAAGGAATGATTAAGGGAAAATAAATTCTACAGCATTTAAAATAAATCGACAAGGATGGGATTCGAACCCACGCGGGTAGAGCCCAATAGATTAGCAGTCCATCGCCTTAACCACTCGGCCACCCTCCACCAGGCTTATTTAATTTCTTATCATACGTTGAATCAAAAAAGGAATGATTAAGTGAAAAAAAAATTTAAGGCATTTAGAATAACTTGACAAGGATGGGATTCAAACCCACGGGGTAAGAGAACAGTGGATTAACAGTCCATCGCCTTAACCACTCGGCCACCACGTCTACGCAGGTCTTATGTTTAATTTCTATTCATACTTTGAATCAAAAAAGGAATGATTAGGGAAAAAAAAAATTAAAGCATTTAAAAAAAATCGACAAGGATGGGATTCGAACCCGCGGGCAGGGGCCCAATGATTAGCAGTACATCGTTAAACCCCACTCGGCCACCTCGTCTGCGCCCTTATTTAATTTCTATTCATACGTTGAATCAAAAAGGAATGTTTAAAGTAAAAAAATTTAGCATTTAGAATAACTCGACAAGGATGGGTTCAACCCCAGGGAGAGCCAAGGGATTAAACAGTCCATCGCCTGTAACCACTCCGGCCACCTAGTCTACCAAAGGTCTTATGTTTAATTTCTATTGATTCGTTGAATGAAAAAGGATAATTAAAGTAGAAAAATTTAACATTTAGAATAACTCGACAAGGATGGGATTCGAACCACGGGGAGAGCCCAATGGATTAGCATTCATCGCCTTAACCACCCCGGCCCACCTCGCCCTGCGCAGCTCCTTATATTCTATTCATACGTTGAATAAAAAAGGGAAATGATTAATTTAAAAAAATTTAAAGCATTTGAATAACTCGACAAGGATGGGATTCGAACCCACGCGGGCAGAGCCCAATGGATTAGCAGTCCATCGCCTTAACCACTCGGCCACCTCGTCCGCGCATCTCCTTTATTTAATTTCTATTCATACGTTGAATAAAAAAGGAATGATTAAGTAAAAAAAAATTAAAGATTTAGAATAACCCCGACAGATGGGATTCGAACCCCGCGGCAGAGCCAATGGATTAGCATTCAGCCTTAACCACTCGGCCACCTCGTCTACGCAGGCCTATTTAATTTCTATTGTTTGGGTTGAATGAAAAAAGGATGTTTAAAAGTTAAAAAATTAAAGGCATTTAGAAAAATCGACAAGAGGGATTCGAACCACGCGGGCAGAGCAATGGTTAATTCATCGCCTTAACCACTCGGGCACCTCGACTCGCAGGCCCTTATTAATTTCTATTCATACGTTGAATGAAAAAGATGATTAAAGTAAAAAATTTAAAGATTTAGAAAAATTTCGACAAGGATGGGATTCGAACCACGCGGGCAGAGCCAATGGTTTAAACGGTACATCGCCTTAACCACTCCGGCACTCCTCGTCCGTAAGCTTCTTTGTTTAATTCTCTTCCGTTGAATGAAAAAAAGAATGATTAAGTGTAAAAAAAATTTAAATCATTTAGAATAACTCGACAAGGTTGGGATTCAAACCCACGCGGGAATGTCAAAATGTATTAGCACTTCATCGCCTTAACCACTCGGCCACCTCGTCTGCGCAACTCCCTTATTTAATTTCTATTCATACGTTGAATCAAAAAAGGAATGATTCAGTGAAAATTTTTAATGCATTTAGAATAACTCGACAAGGATGGGATTCGAAACCACGTGGGCTTGGCCCAACGGATAAGCAGTCCATCGCCTTAACCACTCGGCTACCTCGTCTGCGCAGCTGTCTTACTTAATATCTATTCATACGTTGAATAAAAAAAAGGAATTGATTAAGTGAAAAAAAATTTAAGCATTTAGAATAACTCGACAAGGATGGGATTCGAACACGCGACAAAATGGATAAGCGTCATCGCCTTAACCCCTCGGCCACCTCGTCTGCGCAGCTCACTTATTTAATTTCTATTCATACGTTGAATAAAAAAAAGGATGATTAAGTTCAAAAAAAGTTAAAACATTTAGAATATCCCGACGAGGATGGGATTCGAACCCACGCTGGCAGAGCCCAATGTATAATCAGTCCATCGCATTAACCACTCGGCTAAATTGTCTACGCAGGTCTTATGTTTATTTTCTATTGATTCGTTGAATGAAAAAAAGAATGATTATATGTAAAATAAAAATTTAAAGCATTTGGAATAACTCCACAAGGATGGGATTCGAACCCACGCGAGCAGAGCAAAATGGATTCGCAGTCCATCAACTTAACAACTCGGCCACATCGTCTACGCAGGTCTTATGTTTAATTTCTATTGATTCGTTGAATGAAAAATAGGATGATTAGATGTAAAGAAAAAACAATTTAAAACAAACCCACGAGGATGGGATTCGAACACGTGGGCAGAGATCAATGGATTAGCAGTCCATCGCCTTAACCACTTGGCCACCTCGTCCAAGCAGCTCACTTGTTTAATTTCTTTTTATACATTGAATCAAAAAAGGAATGATTAAGTGAAAAAAACAAAAAGTTAAAACATTTAGAATATTCCAACAGATGGGATTCGAATCTTCTAAGCGAGGCAATGGATTAGCAGTTCTTATACCCAACCACCTCGGCCACCACGTCTACACACCAAATCTTATGTTTAATTTCTATTGATTTGTTGAATGAAAAAAAGAATGATTAAAATAAAGAATTTAAGCATTTGGAATAAATTGACAAGGATGATTCGAACAGGTGGGCAGGCCAATGTGGTTAACAGTCCATCGCCTTAACTCGGCCACCTCATCTACGCGCAGATGTATAGGTAATTTCTATTCGCACGTTGGATCAAAAAGGAATGATTAAGTGAAAAAAATTTAAAGGCATTTGAGAATAATAAAACAAGGGATGGGATTCAACCCGGGGTAGAGCCCAATGGATTAGCAGTCCATCGCCTGAACCACTCAGGCACCTCGTCAGCGCAGGTCCCTTACTTAATTTCTATTGATTAAATGGGAATGAAAAAAGGATGATTAGTGTAAAGTTTAGCATTGGGAGAATAACTCATTAAGGATGGGACTCAGCGAACCCACGCGGGCAGGCAATGGATTAACCAGTAAACGCCTTAATACTCCGTAACCCACCTCGTCTACATTTAATTTCTGATTCGTTGAATAGAAAAAATGATTAAATGAAAATACTGGAATAACTCGACAAGGGATTAGGAAGAACCCCACGCGGGCAGAAGGCCTTCAATGGTTAACAGTCCATCGCATTAACCACTCGGCCACCTCAGGTAGCATCTCCCTTATTTAATTTCTAAGCGCGTTGAATCAAAAAAGGAATGAATAAGTAAAAAAAATTCTAATTTTAGAATAACTCGACAAATTAGAGTTCAAAACCACGAGCAGGCCAATGAATAACCAGTCATCCTTGTAACCACTCTCGGCGGCCACCTCGTCACCGCCGTATACTTCACTGGTATTCTATTCATGCGGGCAAAAAGGGCCGGTAGTGAAAAAAAAATTTGAAACATTTGGTATGTCCCGACAGGGATGGGGATTCAAACCCACGCGGGCAGAGCCAATGGATTAGCAGACCATCGCCTTAACAACTCGGCCACCGTCTATATGCAAGTCTTATGTTTAATTTCTATTGATTCGTTGAATGAAAAAAAGAATGATTAAATGTAAAATAAAAATTTAAAGCATTTGGAATAACTCGACAAGGATGGGATTCGAACCCACGCGGGCAGAGCCCAATGGATTAGCAGTCCATCGCCTTAACCACTCGGCCACCTCGTCTGCGCAAGTCTTATGTTTAATTTCTATTGATTCGTTGAATGAAATTAAATGTAAAATAAATTTAGAAGCATTTGAATAACTCGACAGGATGAGTTCGAACCTTACGCGGGTGGCAATGGATTAATACGATGCCGTGGGGCTTGTTTTGTGTGATTCGTTGAATGAGAATGAATAAATGCAAAAATAAAAATTTAAAAGCATTTGGAATAGCACTCGACAAGGATTCCAGACCCACGCGGGCAACGGATTAGCAGTCCATCGCCTTAACAACGGCACCTCGTCTTCCCAAGTCACAATGTATATTTCTATTGATTCGTTGGTCGAAAAAAAGAATGATTAAATGTAAAATAAAATTTAAAGCATTTGGAATAACTCGACAATGATGATGAGATCGACCCACGCGGGCAGAGCCCAATGGATTAGCAGTCCATCGCCTTAACCACTCGGCCACCTCGTCTGCGCATCTCCTTTATTTAATTTCTATTCATACGTTGAATCAAAAAAGGAATGATTAAGTGAAAAAAATTTTAATGCATTTAGAATAACTCGACAAGGATGGGATTCGAACCCACGCGGGTAGAGCCCAATGGATTAGCAGTCCAACTTCTTAACCACTCAGATACCTCGTCTACGCAGGTCTTATAATTAATTTCTATTCATACGTTGAATCAAAAAAGGAATGATTAAGTTAAAAAAAATTTTTAATCCATTTAGAACTCGACAAGGATGGGATTCGAACCCACGCGAGCAGAGCCCAATGGATAAGCAGTCCACCGACTTAAATAATTGCCACATCGTATACGCAGGTCTTATGTTTAATTTCTATTGAATCGTTGAATGAAAAAAAGGATGATTAGATGTAAAGAAAAAACAATTTAAAGCATTTAAAATAAATCCACAAGGATGGGAATCGAACCCACGTGGGCAGAGTCCAATGGATTAGCAGTCCATCGCCTTAACCACTCGGCCACCTCATCTACGCGCAAGTCTTATAATTAATTTCTATTCATACGTTGAATCAAAAAAGGAATGATTAAGTGAAAAAAAAAATTTAAGGCATTTAGAATAACTCGTGGGATGGAGTTCAACCCACGAGGGTAAGAGCCCAATGGTTAACTTGATCCATCGCCTGAACCGCGAGCACCTCGTCAGCAGGGTCCCTTACTTAATTCTATTGAGTCGTAGAATGAAAAAAAGGATGTTAAGGTGTAAAAAGTTTGGCGTTTAGAATAACTCATTAGATGGGACTCTATTGCGGTAATGGATTAGCAAGTAAATCGCCTTAACCACTCAACACCACCTCGTCCACGCAGGTCTTATGTTTAAATTCTATTATTCTGAATGATAAATGAAAAAGAATGATTAAATGAAAAATAAAAATTTAAAGCATTTGGAATAACTCGACAAGGATGGGATTCGAAACCACGTGAGCAGAGCCCAATGAATAAGCAGTCATCGCCTTAACCACTCGGCCTACCTCGATACACACCAAGTCTTATGTTTAATTTCTATTGTTTCGTTGAATGAAAAAAGAATGAAGGATTAAATGTAAAATATTTAAAGCTTTGGAATAACTCGACAATGAGGGGATTCAGACCTTACGCTTGAGGTAGAGCCCAATATTAGCAGTCCATCGCCTTAACCACTCGGCCACCTCGTCTGCGCATCTCCCTTGTTTAATTTCTATTCATACTTTGAATCAAAAAAGGAATGATTAAGTGAAAAAAAAATTTTAATGCATTTAGAGTAACTCGACAAGGATGGGATTCAAACCCACGCGGGCAGAGCCCAATGGATTAGCAGTCCATCGCCTTAACCACTCAGACACCTCGTCTACGCATGTCTTATAATTAATTTCTATTCATACGTTGAATAAAAAGAATGATTAAAATGTAAGAATAATAATTTAAACATTTGGAACCTTAACTTTTCAAACAGAGATGGGATTCGAACCCACGCGGGCAGGCAAGTTAGCAGTCCATCGCCTTAACCACTCGGCCACCTCGTCTACGCAGAGTCTTATGTTTAATTTCTATTGATTCGTTGAATGAAAAAAAGAATGATTAAATGTAAAATAGAAATTTAAGCATTTGGAATAACTCGACAAGGATGGGATTCGAACCCACGCGGGCAGAGCCCAATGGATTAGCAGTCCATCGCCTTAACCACTCGGCCACCTCGTCTGCGCAGCTCTCTTACTTAATTTCTATTCATACGTTGAATAAAAAAAAGGAATAAGTGAAAAAAAAAAGTTTAAACATTTAGTATATCCCGACGAGGATGGGATTCGAACCCGCGGGCAGAGCAATGGATTAACGAATCGCCTTAACACTCGGCCACCCTCGTCTACGCAAGTCTTATTATATAATTTCTATTGGTTAGATTTGAATGAAAAAAGAATGATTAAATGTAAAATAAAAATTTGAAGCATTTGGAACCAACTACGACAAAGGATGGGATTCAGGCAGAGAGCCAATGGTGCTGAGTCAATAGCATAACCACTCAAGCCACCTGGTAAGTTCTTATGTTTGTGCCAGTTCGTTGAATGAAAAAGAATGATTAAATGTAGGTAAAATTTAAAGCATTGGAATAACTTTTCGGCAGGGATGGGGATTCGAACCCCGCGGGCAGGCAGTTAACCACTCGGCCACCTCTTTCATAAAGGCATATGTTTAATTTCTATTGATTCGTTGAAAGAAAAAAAGAATGATTAAATGAAATAATAAATTTAAAAGCATTTGGAATAACTCGACAAGTGGGATTCGAACACGCGGGCAGGGCCAATGGATTAGCAGTGCATCGCCTTAACCACTCGGCCACCTCGTCTACGCATGCCTTATGTTTAAATTCTATTGATTCGTTGAATCAAGAATGAGTAAATCAAAATAAAAATTTTAAACATTTGAATGAGTCGACGGATGGGATTCGAACCTTACCCGGGCGAGCCCAATGGATTATCATCGCCTTAACCACTCGACCACCTCGTCTGCGAATCTCTCTCTTGAATTTCTATTCATACGTTGAATCAAAAAAGGAATGATTAAGTGAAAAAAAAATTTTAATGCATTTAGAATAACTCGACAAGGATGGGATTCGAAACCACGTGAGCAGAGCCCAAAGAATAAGCAGTCATCGCCTTAACCACTCGGCCACCTCGTCTGCGCAGCTCTCTTATAATTGCCATACGTTGAATAAAAAAAGGAATAACTAATGAAAAAAAGTTTAAACATTTGGTATATCTCGTGGATAGGATTCGAACCCACGCGGATAGGGCCCAATGGATTTGCAGTCCATCGCCTTAACCACTCAGACGCCTCGTCTACGCAGGTGTTATAATTAATTTCTATTCATACGTTGAATCAAAAAAGGAATGATTAAAATTTTAATCCATTTAAAACCAACTCTCGACAAGGATGGGATTCGAACCCGCGAGCAGGCCCAATGGATAAGCCAGTCCATCGACTTGGCAATTTTACCCATATACGCAGGTCTTATGTTTTATTTCTATTGATTCGTTGAATGAAAAAGGATGATTAGATGTAAAGAAAAAACAATTTTAAGCATTTAAAATAAATCCACAAGGATGAGTTCGAATTGCATGGGCAAATTTGAGTTAACAGTCCACATCGCCTTAACCGCTTTCAGCCTCATCTGCGCTGGATATGTTAATTTCTGATGTACGTTGAATCAAAAGAATGATTAGAGTGAAAAAAATATTTAAGGCATTTAGAATAACTCGACAAGGATGGGATTCCAACCCACGGGGTAAGAGCCCAATGGATTAGCAGTCCATCGCCTTAACCACTCGGCCACCTCGTCTGCGCATCTCCCTTATTTAATTTCTATTCATACGTTGAATCAAAAAGGAATGATTAAGTGAAAAAATTCTAAAGCATTTAGAATAACTCGACAAGGATAGGTTGAAACCACGCGAAGCAGAGCCAATACGCATTGGTGTCGCCTTGCTCGACACACCTGGTCTACGCAAGTCTTATGTTTTAATTTCTATTCGTTGTGAATGAAAAAAGGATGATTAAATGTAGAAATATTTGCAGGCATTTTACAGAATAACTCGACAAGGATGAGTTCTAAAACACATTTGGAATATCCCGACGAGATTCGACCCTCGAGCAGAGACCAATGGATTAGTTCATCGCCTTACTCGGCCACCGTCTGCGGGCTACTTTTATTTAATTTCTATTTATACGTTGAATCAAAAAAGGAATGATTAAGGGAAAATAAATTCTACAGCATTTAGAATAAATCGACAAGGATTCGAACACGCGGGTAAGGAAGGCTTGTAGATTAACGATCCATCGCCGCCACTCGGCCTGCCACGTCTGCAGGTCTTATGTTTGTCTATTCATGCCGGATCAAAAAGAATGATTAAGTGATAAAAAAGAAAAAGTTAAAACATTTAGAATATCTCAACAAGGATGGGATTCGAACCCGCGCAGGCAGAGCCCAATGCATTAGCAGTCCATCGCCTTAACCACTCGACTCGTCTGCGTATCTCCTTATTGGTGATTTCTATTCATACGTTGAATCAAAAAAGGAATGATTAAGTAAAAAAAATTCTAAAGCATTTAGAATAACTCGACAAGGATGGGATTCGAACCCACGCGGGCAGAGCCCAATGGATTAGCAGTCCATCGCCTTAACCACTCGGCCACCTCGTCTACGCAAGTCTTATGTTTAATTTCTATTGATTCGTTGAATGAAAAAGGATAATTAAAAGTAGAAATATTTTTAAGGCATTTAGAATAACTCGACAAGGATGGGATTACGGGGTAGAGCCCAATGGATTCCATCGCCTTAACCACTCAGGCACACCTCGTCTGCGCTGCCATAAAATATATCTATTCATACGTTGTGAGATGAAAAAAGGATGAAGTTCAAATAATATTTAAAGCAATTAGAATAACTGGTAGGGTTGGGATTCGAACCCACGCGGTGAGGCAGAGACCAATGGATTAGCGGTATCCACGCCACTCGGCCACACGCTGGTCTTATAGTGTAATTTCTATTCGTTGGATCAAAAGGCCGGTTAAGTGAAAAAAAAGCAGAACGTTGAAGAGATTTAGAATATCCAGGCAATGGCATTCGAGGCCGAGCAGAGCTCAATGGATTAACAGTTAACGCCTTAACCACTCGTACCTCGGTATCATTACATGACCCTACCATGGTATTTCTATTGATTCGGTGAATGAAAGGATGATTGAAATGTGAAAATATTTTTTAAGGCATTTAGAATAATAATAATAGCATCGACTTAAGGACGAGTTCGAACCCGCATGGGGCAGAGCAAAATGGATTAGCATTCCCTCGCGCCAACACTCCAGGCACTTTCGACTGCGCACAGCGCCCGCTTGCGGATTTCTATTCATACGTTGAATGAAAAAAGATGATTAAGTTCAAAAAAAATTTAAAGCATTTAGAATAGACGAATTCGGCAAGGATGGGATTCGAACCCACGCGGGCAGAGCCCAATGGATTAGCAGTACATCGCCTTAACCACTCGGCCACCTCGTCCGCGTAGCTGTCTTGTTTAATTTCTCTTCATACGTTGAATGAAAAAAAGGATGATTAAGTGTAAAAAAAATTTAAATCATTTAGAATAACTCGACAAGGATGGGATTCAAACCCTGCCGTCAAAATGTATTAGCACTTCATCATATAACCACTCGGCCACCTCGTCTGCGCAACTCCCCATTTAATTTCTATTCATACGTTGAATCAAAAAGGAATGATTCAATGAGAAAAAAATTGCCCAATGCATTTAGAATAACTCGACAGGATGAGTTTCGAAACCACGTGGGCTTGGCCCAACCTTGGATATCGCCTTAACCACCTCGGCCTACCTCGTCTGCCAGCTGTCTTATAATATCTATTCATACGTTGCTTGAATAAAAAAAAGGAGATGTGATTAAGTGAAAAAATTTAAAGCATTTAGAACTCAACTCTCGACAAGGATGGGATTCGAACCCACGCGAGCAGACCCAAATGGATAAGCAGTCCATCGCCTTAACCCTCGCGGCCACCTCGTCTGCGCAACTCGCATAATTTCTATTCATACGTTGAATAAAAAAGGATGATTGAAATTCAAAAAGTTAAAACCCCAGAACTCCGTGAGGATGGGATTCGAACCCACGCTTGAGAATTGTATAATCCAGTCCATCGCATTAACCACTCGGCTGGTGTCTACGCAGGTCTTATGTTTGTTTTCTATTGATTCGTTAAGAATGATTATATATGTAAAAATAAAATTTAAAGCATTTGGAATAACTCCACAAAGGATGGGATTCGAACCCACGCGAGCAGAGCAAAATAGTTCGCAGTCCATCAACTTAACAACTCGGCCACATCGTCTACGCAGGTCTTGTTTAATTTCTATTGATTCGTTGAGATGAAAATAGGATGATTAGATGTAAAAAGAAAAAAACAATTTGAAACAAATCACAAGGATGGGATTCAACCACGTGGTGAGATCAATGGATTGGCGATGTTCCATCGCCTTAACCACCAGCCCACCTCGTCCAAAGCAGCTCCGCTTACCCCAATTTCTTTTTACATTGAATCAAAAAGACCAAGTGAAAAAACAAAAGTTAAACATTTAGAATATTCCAACAAGGATGGGATTCGAATCTAAGCGGGCAGAGCCCAATGGATTAGCTGTAAATGGCCTTAACCACTCGGCCAACTCGTCTGGGAGGCTTCGTTAATTAATTTCTATTCATACGTTGAATCAAAAAATAAATGATTAAGTGAAAAAAAAATTTTATATCATTTAGAATAACTCGACAACCAAGGATGGGATTCGAACCCCTTTGGCAAGAGCTAATGTATAATCAGTCTATCGCATTAACACTCGGCTAATTACGCAGGTCTTATGTTTTATTTTCTATTGATTCGTTGAATGAAAAAAAGAATGATTATATGTAAAATAAAATTTAAAAGCACAGGAATAACTCACAGGATGAGTTCGAACCCCGCGGCAGAGCCCAATGGATTAACAGTTCATCGCCTTAACACTAAACACCCACGTCTACCTTAAAATCTTATGTTTAATTTCTATTGATTTGTTGAATGAAAAAAGAATGTGATTAAATGTATCTAAAATTTAAAAAGCATTTGAATAAATCGACAATGATGAGTTCGAACCCGCGGGCGAGGCCAATGGATTAGCAGTCCATCGCCTTAACCACTCGGCCACCCTCGTCTGCGCATCTTTAATTTCTATTCTGCATTTGGAATAAAAGGAATGGTTAAGTGAAAAAAAATTCTGCAGCATTTAGAATAAATTGACTAAGGATGGATTCGAAACCGTGGAGGGCTTGGCAAAGTTAACCTCCATCGCCTTAAACACTCGGCCACCTCGTCTACGTCGGGCTTATGTTTAATTTCTATTGATTCGTTGAATGAAAAAAGAATGATTAGATGTAAAAAAAATAATTAAATCATTTACAATAACTCGACAAGGATGGGATTCGAATCTACGCGGGCAGAGCCCAATGGATTAGCAGTCCATCGCTTTAACCACTCGGCCACCTCGTCCAAGCAACTCCCTTGTTTAATTTCTATTTATGCATTGAATCAAAAAAGGAATGGCTAAGTGAAAAAAATATTTGAAACATTTAGAATATCTCTCGGCGAGAGGGATAAGGATTCACCCACGCGGGCAGACCCAATATAGATAAGCAGTCCATCGCCTTAAACACTCGGCCACCTGTCTACGTAGATCTTACCTCTTCAGGCCCTATTCATGCGTTGAATCAAAAAGGAATGATTATGAATAAAAGCAGAAAGTTAAAACATTTTGAAAATCCGACGGGATTCAGTGCCAAGGGCAGAGCCCAATAGATTAACTTGATCCATCGCCTTAACCACTCGTACACACACCTCGTCTACGGAGGTCTTATAATTAATTCCTATTATTAATGCACGTTGAATCAAAAACAAATGATTAAGGAGTGAAAAAATTCTACTGCTGCGAATAACTCGACAAGGGATGGGATTCGAAACCGTGGAAGCAGCGTAATGGATAAGTCCATCATATAACCACTCGGCTACCTCATCTGCGCAGCTGTATTACTGCTATATTCATTGGTTGAATAAAAATGATTAAGTGAAAAAAATTTAATGCATTCCAGGAATAACTCGACAAGCATGGGATTCAGACCTTTCGCGGGCGGAATCCCAATGGATTAGCCAGTCCATCGCCAATCACTCGTCCACGTTTAGCTCCCTTATTGGCTATTCATACACGTTGTGAATATAGCAATGATTAAGTGAAAAAAAAAATTTTAAAGCATTTGGGAAGAATAACTCGACAAGGGATGGGATTTTGAACCCGCATGGTGGGGAGCCCAATGGATTAGCAGTCCATCGCCTTAACCACTCGGCCCTCGAACGCTGTACCCTTGTTTAATTTCTATTCATACGTTTAATGAAAAAAAGGATGATTAAGTGTAAGGCAAAAATCCCAAAGCATTCGGAATAACTCGACAAGAATGGGATTCGAACCCACGCGGGCCGGAGCACAACGGATTAGCAGTCCATCGCCTTGCTTACTCGGCCACCCCTCGTCTACGCCTTGGGTCATTTTGTTTAATTTTTATTGATTCGTTGAATGATAAGAATGATTAAAATGTAAAAAATAAATTTAAATCATTTAGAATAACTCGACAAGGATGGGAATCAAACCACGCGGGGAGAGCCAGTTGTAACCACTCGGCCACCTCTCTTCTGCTTGCAGCTCAATAATTAATTTCTGTTCATACGTTGAATCAACTAGCAATGATTAAGTGAAAAAAAAATTTAAATCATTTAGAATAACTCGACAAGGATGAAGTCGATCCCACTCGAACTGATGTAAAGTTAACCAGTCCATCTCCTTAACCACTCATGCAACCTCGTCTACGCAAGCCCCATTTATTAATTTCTATTGATTCGTTGAATGAAAAAAAGGTTGATTGAATGTGGGATATTTTTAAGGCATTTAGAAAAACTCGACAAGGACGGGATTCGAACCCACGAGGGCAGAGCAAAATGGATTAGCATTAAATCGCCTTAACACGTGACTCATTATATCGTTGCGGCGCTGCCTTATTTAATTTTACCATACGTTGGTCAAAAAGAAATGGATAAGTACTACAGCATTTAGAATAACTCGACAAGGATGGGATTCGAAACCACGTGGGCTTAGCCCAATGGATAAGCAGTCCATCGCCTTAACCACTCGGCTACCTCGTCTGCGCAGCTGTCTTACTTAATATCTATTCATACGTTGAATAAAAAAAAGGAATGATTAAGTGAAAAAAAAAGTTAAAATATTTAGAATATCCCGACAAGGTGGGGATTCGAACCCATGCAGGCAAGAGGCAAATGGATTAGCAGTCCATCGCCTTAACCGCGCTTACACCTGTTAGCTCAGGCCCTATGTTTAATTTCTATTGATTCGTTGAATGAAAAAAAGGATGATTAAATGTAGAAATATTTTTAAGGCATTTAGAATAAATCCGGGTTACGAGTTCGAACCACGAGGGCGTGACAAAATGGATTAACATTAAATCATATAGCCAACCGCACTCAGGCACCTCGTCTGCGCAGCTCCCTTATAATTTTCTATTCGCCCGTTGAATGAGGATGATTAAATTCCACTTAGAATAACTCTCGGCAAGGATGGTATTCGAAACCACGTGGAGAAGCCCGTTTAACCACTCGGCCACCTCGTCTACGAAAGTCTTATGTTTAATTACTATTGATTCGTTGAATGAAAAAAAGATGGATTAGATGTAAAAAAAAATTTGAAGCATTCAGAATAACTCGACAAGGATGGGATTCGAACCCACGCGGGCAGAGCCCAATGGATTAGCAGTCCATCGCTTTAACCACTCGGCCACACCTCATTACAGAAGCATCTCCTTTGTTTAATTTCTATTTATACATTGTGAATCAAAAGGAATGGCTAAGTGAAACTTGAAACATTTAGAATATCTCGACGAGGATAGGATTCGAACCCACGCGGGCAGACTACAATGGATAAGCAGTCCATCGCCGTAAACACTCGGTCACCTCGTCTACGCAGGTCTTATAATTAATTTCTATTCATGCGTTGAATCAAAAAAGGAATGATTATGTGAAAAATAAATTTAAAGCATTTACAATAACTCGACGGGATGGGATTCGAACCCACGTGGAGCGAGAACAACGCATTAGCAGTCCATCTTAACCACTCCTTACACCTCGTCTGCATAGGTCATATGTTTTAATTTCTATTGATTTGTTGAATGAAAAAAAGAATGATTAGATTTAAAAAATTTAAAAATTCAGAATAATAAATTAAGGATGGGATTCGAACCCACACTTGGATAGAGCCCAATGGTTAGCAGTCCATCGCCTTAACCACTCGGCCTACCTCGTCTACACGCAAGTCTTATGTTTTAGCGAATTTCTATTCATACGTTGAATGAAAGGATGGGTAAGTGTAAAATAAAATTTGTTAAATCATTTAAGAATAACTCGGGATGGGATTCGAACCCACACAGGAAGGCAGAGTAAAATGGATTAGTCCATCGCCTTAACCACTCGGCCACCTCGTCTTTTAGCGTAATTAATTTCTATTCATACTTTGAATCAAAAAAGGAATGATTAAATTAAAAAAATTTAAATCATTTAGAACTCGTGGATGGGCTTCCACGCGGGCAGAAGAGCCCAAAGAAAGGATTAACAGTCCATCACCTTAACCACTCAGCCACCTCGATACACCCAGGCCCTATGTTTAATTTCTATTGATTCGTTGGTGAAAAAAGGATGATTAAATGTAAGTATTTTGAGCATTTACTCGACAAGGATTCGAATTTACGCGGGCAGAGCAAAATGGATTCTTCAGCGCCTTAACCACTCAGACTCCTCGTCTGCACTGCCAGCTCCCTTATTTATTCATACGTATAATGAAAAAAGGATGATTAAGTTCAAAAAAAATTTAATGCATTTAGAATAACTCGACAAAGATGGGATTCGAACCCACGCGGGCAGAGCCAATGGATTAGCAGTCCATCGCCTTAACCACTCGTCCACCGCGTCTGCGCAGGCTCTATGTTTAATTTCTATTGATTCGTTGAATGAAAAAAAGGATGATTAATTGTAGAAAAATTTTTAAGGCATTTAGAATAACTCGACAAGGACGGGATTCGAACCACGCGGGCAGAGCAAAATGGATTAGCATTCCATCGCCTTAACCACTCAGGCACCTCGACTGCGCACAGCTCCCTTACTTAATTTCTATTCATACGTTGAATGAAAAAAGATTTATTAGATGAATTTAAAGCATTCAGAACCAACGAGCGAGATTTGAGTTCGAACCCGGGCAGGAGGCAATGAGTAACTGATCCATCGCCTTAACCACTCCAGCCACCTCGTCTACACCCAGCACACCCTTATTTAATTTCTATTCATACGTTGAATCAAAAAAGGAATGATTAAGTGAAAAAAATTTAAGGCATTTAGAATAACACGACAAGGACGGGAATCGAAACCACGTGGCCATAGCCCAATGGATAAGCAGTCCATTGCCTTAACCACTCGGCTACCTCGTCTGCGCAGCTCGCTTACTTAATTTCTATTCAAATGTTAAATCAAAAAAAGAATGATTAATTGAAAAATAAATTTAAAGCCTCTAGAATAACTCGACTGGGATGGGATTCGAACCCACGTGGGCAGAGCACAATGGATTAGCAGGTCATCGCCTTAACCACTCGGCCACCTCGTCTACGCAGGTCATATGTTTAATTCTATTGATTAGTTCAATGAAAAAAGGAATGATAAAGTGAAAAAAAACAGTAACTTAAAACATTTAGAATATCCTGACGAGGATGGGATTCGAACCGACATTGAGCGAGAGCCCAATGATTAACGTCCATCGCCTTGCAACCACTGGAGCGAAAAACCTCGACCGCGCAGCTGTCTTGTTTAATTTCGCTTCATACGTTGAATGAAAGAAAGAATGATTAAATGTGTAAAAAAATTTAAATCATTTAGAATAATTCGACAAGGATGGGATTCGTACCCACGCGGGCAGAGCCCAATGGATTAGCAGTGCATTGCCTTAACAACTCGGCCACCTCGTCAGCGCAGCCCCCTTACGTAATTTCTATTGATTCGTTGAATGAAAAAAAAGGATGATTAAGTGTAAAAAAATTTTAGCATTTAGAATAACTCGACAAGGAAGGGATTCGAACCCACGAGGGCAGAGCCCAATGCATTAGCAGTAAATCGCCTTAACGACTCGGCCACATCGTTTGCGCAGCTGCCTTATATAATTTTTATTCATACGTTGAATAAAAAAAGGAATAAGTGAAAAAAAAAATTTAAAGCATTTAGAATAGCTCGACAAAGGATGGATTCGAACCCGGGTGAAGAGAGCCCAATGGATTAGATCCATCGCCTTAACCACTCTTTTCAATCTACGCATTTCTTATGTTTAATTTCTATTCATACTTTGAATCAAAAGGAAAAGAGATTAAGTGAGAAAAAAACTAAAAGTTAGCATTTAAGAATATCGACGAGGAGGATGGGTTGAACCCCGCGGAAGGCCCAATGGATTAGCAGTGCATTGCCTTAACCCACTCTTTTTCGTCCTTGAGAATTCCTTGTTTAATTTCTATTACATACGTTTACCCAATGAAAAAGGTTAGTAGAGATTAAAAATAAGATTTAAAGGCATTTAGAATAACTCGAAAAGGATGGGATTCGAACCCACGCGGGCAGAGCCAAATGGATAAGAAGTTCATCGCCTTAACCACTCGGCTACCTCGTCTGCGAAACTCAATAATGGTACTACATTTCATACGTTGAATGAAAAAAAGGATGATTAAGTGTAAAAAAATTTAAATCATTTAGAATAACTCGACAAGGATGGGATTCAAACCCACGCGGGAAGAGCAAAATGGATTAGCAGTCCATCGCCTTAACCACTCGCACCTCGTCTGCGCAGCTCCCTTATTTAATTTCTATTCATACGTTGAATCAAAAAAGGAATGATTAAGTGAAAAAAATTTTCGAAGATATCTCGACAGGTTGGGATTCGAAACCGATAGGCTGCTTAATGGATAAAGCAGTCCATCGCCTTAACTATACTCCAACCACCTCGTACCAGATTACTTATGTTTATTTTTTGGCATTTAGTTCGTTTACAATGACAAGAATGATTAAATGTAATGAAAAATTTTAAGCATTTAGAATAACTTGACAAAGATGGGATTCGAACGCACTCGGGCAAAGCCCAATGTATTTGCAGTCCATCGCCTTAACCACTCGGCCACCTCGTCTGCGCAATGCTTCTTTTCAATATTTATAGATCCGTCGCTTTAGAAGAAAAATGAACTTATGTAATAAAAGAAGTTCATTTCTTACTTGCAACTCTATTGTTTAATTTCTATTCATTCGTTGAATAAAAAAAAGGAATAATTGAGCTCAAAAATTAAGTTTAAAGCATTTAGATTAACTCGTCGAGGATGGGATTCGAACCCACGCGGGTAGAGCTCTCTGGATTAGCAGTTCATCGCTTTAACCACTCGGCCACCTTGTCAGCTCTATTGTCTAATTTCTATTCATACGTTGAATCAAAAATGGAATGGTTAAGAGTAAAAAAAAAGTTTAAAGTTTTCAGAACAAATCGAGAAGTATGGGATTCGGACCCACGCGGGGAGAGTCCAACGGATTATCAGTCGTTCTCCTTAACCACTCGGCCTCCTCGTCTATGCAATTCTTCATTTCAATACTTATAGATCTGTTGCCTTAGAAGAAAAATGAAGTAATGTAATAAAAAGTTCATTTTGAATTTTACAACGAGAATGGGATTCGGTCCCACGCAGTCAGATACCAATGGATTAGCAGTCCTACACCTTAAACACTCGGCCACCTCGTGTGTATACACCGTTCGTCCGTTCAATATTTTTGTTCCGCTCCCTTAAAAGAATAAGGATTATGTGTAATAAAAAAACGCATTTAGAATATAACCTCGAGGATGGGATTCAAACCCACACGGGCAGCGCCCAACGAATTCGCAGGCCATCGCTTTAACAACTAGGCCACCTCATCTACTAAGTTTTTTTTATTTTTATTGATCCGTTGAATCAAAAAGGGAATGATTAAGTGTAAAAGGAAATAATTAAGGCATTTAGAATAACTCGACATGGATGGGATTCGAACCCACGCAGGCCGAGCCTAAAGGATTAGCATTCCATAGCCTTAACCCCTCGGCCTAATCGTTTACGCAGCACATTTTTTTAATTTCTATTGATACGTTGAATGAAAAAAGGAATGATTAAGTGTAAAAAAAAAAATTTAAAGCATTTAAAATAGCTCGACAAAACGGGATTCGAACCCACGCAGGCAGAGCCCAATGAATTAGTAGTCCATAACCACTAGGCCACCGCGTCTATGCAAATCTTTTTTTCAATATTTATAGATCCGTTGCCTTAAAAAAAAATTTTGTGTAGTAAAAAAATTATTTAGAATATCACGACGAGGATGGGATTCTAACCCACGCGGGCAGAGTTCAATGGATTAGCAGTCTATCGCCTTAACCACTCAGCCACCTCGTCTACGAATTTCTCCTTTTCAATATTTATAGATCCTTTGCAGTAAAACAAAATGAATTTGTGTAATAAAAAGTGCATATAGAATATTAAAACGAGAATGGGATTCGTTCCATCGTGGGCAGAACCCAATGGATTAGCAGTCCATTGCCTTAACAACTCGGCCACCTCGTCTACGCGGCTACTTTGTTTAATTTCTATTCTAAAAGTTGAATCAAAACATGAATGATTAAGTGTAAAAAAAAGTTTAAAGCATTTAGAAAAGCTCGACAAGGATAGGATTTGAACCCACGCGGACAGAACCCAATGGATTAGCAGTCCATCGCCTTAACCACTCGGCCACCTCGTCTGCTCAATTCTTCTTTTCAATATTTATATATACATCCGTTGCCTTAGAAGAAAAATGAATTTGTTTAATAGAGTAAAGTGCTTTAGAACATTACAACGAGAATGGACTTCGATTCCACGCAGTTAGATGCCAATGGATTAAAGTTTTTCTCATTAACCACACGGCCACCTCGTGTGTCTACACCGTTCTTCCGTTCAGTATTTTTGATCCGTTCCCTTAAAAGAATAATGATTATATGTTATAAAAAATGCATTTAGAATATCACGACGAGGATGGGATTCAAACCCAAGCGTGCAGAGCGCAACGGATTAGCAGTCCATCGCCTTAACCACTCGGCCACCTCTTGTACGCAATTCTTCTTTTCAATAATTATAGATCCGTTGTCTTAGAAGAAAAATGAATTTGTGTAATAAAAAAGTGCATTTAGAATATTACAACAAAAATGGGATTCGATCCCACCCAGGCAGATCCCAAAGGATTAGCAGCCCATCACCTTAACCACTCGGCCACCTCATCGACTAAGCTCCTATGTTTAATTTCTGTTGATCCGTTAAATCAAAAAAGGAATGATTAAGTGTAAAAAAAAAAAAAATTTAAAACATTTAGAATTTCTCGGCAAGGATGAGATTTGAACCCACGCGGGTAGAGCCTGATGGATTATTAGTCCATCGCCTTAATCACTGGGCCACCTTGAATGGACAGTACATCTCTTCAATTTTTATTTATTCCTTGAATTAAAAAAGAATGGTTGTGTTTAAAAATAATTTAGAGATGTTGAGATAATTCGACTACGGATGGGATTAGAACACAGGCGGGCGGATCCCAATGGACTAGCAGTCCATCGCCTTAACCAATCGGGAACCTCATCTATGTAGCTTCTTTGTTTAATTTCTATTCAACTGTTGAATCAAAAACGGTTTGATTTAGTTTTAAAAAAAAGTTTAAAGCAGTTAGAATAACTCGATAAGGATGGTATTCGAATCTATGTAGGCAGAGTCTTATGGTTTCTAGTCTATCGCCATAGCCACTCTGCTGCCTCGTCTCTATAAGCCGATCTTATTTTCAATATTTATAGATCCTTTGCCTTAAAAGAAAAATGATTTCAAGTGATAAAGAAATGGCATTTGCAATATTACGACGAGGATGGGATTCGAACCCACCGGGCAGAGCCCAATGGATTAGCAGTCCATTGCCTTAACAACTCGGCACCTCATCTACGCAGGTCCTTTGTTTAATTTCTATTGATTCGTTAAATGAAAAAAAATAATGATTAAGTGTAAAAAAAAATTTAAAGCATTTAGAATAACCCGACGGGGATGGGATTCGAACCCACGCGGGCAGAGCCCAATGGATTAGCAGTGCAACGCCTTAACCACTCGGCCACCTTCCGTTTAGTATTTTTTATCCATTCCTTTAAGAAAAATTTTTGAAATCCATTCCTTTAAAAGAAGGAATTGATTAAATATTGTAATTCAAAAATTATTTAGAATAATTATTCTAACGAGGAAGTGATTTGAACCCCCAACTGGCGCAGAAGCTTTGTCACTGGATATTCGAAAATAAGTACACCGTTCGGGTTAAGAAAAAAAATTTAGATTTATAATAAAAAAACTAGGACGCTCGGTCTGGCAGTCGGACTAAGAACATTGCTCCAAAGGCACGTCTCGGCTTTTGTAAGTCTTGATATTCTGGAAGAGATGGTCCTTGTAGGTTCTTGAAAGAATGTTTTCTAGGTTCGATTCTATCGAGAGCCAGACATACAATTCATTAAGTTTCATGAAAACACAAAATTTGTACCTCGCTGTCTGGGCAGTCGGGACATTGTAGCAGATTATGTTGTGGCAATTTGCCTGTTCTAAAAGAAAAACAGGTACCCGGCTTTCGATTTTGTTGAAAGGAATTGATTCTGGAAACGAAGTTAAATTTGATCTTTTGGGTATTTTCATTGCGGAGGAATATAATATGAATAATGTTCACCGGGTAACAATTTCTCGGTAATCAGGGTTTAAATTGATTTCTGCGAAAGTACTTGACAAAAGATTTTCCTATAGTATTGTTTCTCTTAAAAAGAAGCACGGTTTTCAAAATTTTACTTCTAAATGGAATGGCTGATAACAGCGAAAAGGCACTTCTGATACGGTCCGAAATACCTTCTTAAGAGTTTTTCGGAGAGACCGACTTTTCTTACTGGGGTATAAACCCATACGAGATCTCCGGGAGCGTGAGATACCATTACAGGAATGTTATTTGCAGGCAAATCTGTCATTTTTATTCAAGTTATAGTAGTTTTACTGTCCTTAGACGATCGAAAAATATACACGCGGAACTTTTTCCTGTTTGTGTCTTGTGGAACAAACATCTTTATACCTTTTTTTTTTATGAAGTTCTTTTGGTAGCATTTGAAAATCTTTCTTTTGACTAAAACGTTTCAAGTTCATCGATTTTCTCAAATTTACTTTCGCTATCATGATTATTATGCATTATTTCAGCAGGTTCTTCCCTGGTTTGATCAGTTTCAACTTCTTTCTTTAGAGATCTTAGATGGTCATTTTTTCTTTTTATATTCTGCTCATTTACATTTATAAACCATAACAGTCGTACAACACTTCAATCAAAACCACTAAGTTGTTCACAGAGGGAAAATATAGCGTATTGATAGAAAATATTTTAGAACAAAAGTAAGTCGCGCGAGGAATTCAATCAAAACAAGTACCTCAAGATTGTAAAAAAACGTTGGCCACTCCCGAAAAAGAAGTAAATATGTGACAAATACATTTTAGTTCCCATGAAGACTGTCATATAAGAGGATACAGATAAGGTCATTTGTAACAAATAAGCAGTTTTCCCAGAATTAACGATTTTGTGAGCCTTAGGTGACTGTGCCTCGCGCGACTGCACCCGGGTTAATTTTACTTCTTTCCTTGAAAATACGCTTCTCCTCATATTTTACTTACAGGATCAATTCCATATACTTGTGGCTGCTGATACCATATAATTCTAAACTTTCATTTAAGAAAACGTATTTCCGAGATTTTAAGAAAAGAATAATAATTTTCAGTCAGTTTTCAAAGCTGGTATATCCCATATTTAATTAATCTTCAATTATAAAAGCTTTACATATTATCATGATTTAGCGGTACACACTTCAAAAAACGTAAATTTCCAAAATTGTATAGGGAATTTTTTTTTTAAAAAAGTCTGAATGATTTTTAAAAATGAAGCTATTTATAACATTTTCAAAACTATTTTTGTTGGAATGCTTTTGTAATTAGATTGTTTCTTTAGATATTTCGAAGCTTATTATAAGTAATTAGTAAATAATGATAATAATTAGCTTTATACTCGTATTAGCACAGATAGTTTCAAACATAATGTAGGTTTTCCCATTAGAACTATTCCAGCAATTTACCTTGAGGAAATAACTAACTTTGTCACTTAAACAGCTATCCTGTTTATGTTTAAATTTCTAATAATTATCAGAACATTAAATAAAATACATAATTTTTTCTCATAGTGATATTTTCACCATAACTTATCTTATATCTGCTTATGTATCTTTTCAATTCGTATGGTACACGAACCACACAATTTGAATATCCCAAAATTATACAAATACACATCTTATTAAATATTCAATATTTCCTCCAAACTTATTTTTATTTTAAAAAAGTTTAAAAAGGAAAATATTATTTCTTTTCAATTTTGTGGAAGGGGAAAAAAAACTACAAATATTAAAGTCATTCTTAAGCAACAGGAATAAATATATATATATATTTATTTACGTATTTTTATATCTTCGCTTAACTTCAATCTTTTCTTGAAATCACATAATGGAAAAATATAAAATAAATAAAACAGGAAAACGGGAAAAAAGAGCAAAACCCCTTTTCTTACTATCCTCTGGACCAGGGCAAAAATGGTTATTGAATTTCATGGGGGAAATTATTTTTTGGACCGTTTGGGATTTATGTCCGTTTCTTCGATAGTCCGAGGCCACGAAAATTATTTTATGATGTTTTTAAAAACCTCCATTTCGAAACGTGATTTGAATTTTAATATAATATGGTCTGGGACTCCCGCTATTGATTCTGTTTCCAGATAAATATGAAATGGATGGGGAAAAATCTTTGGAAAAAAACCTTTCATTTTCGAGTTCAAAAAGTGAAATATTGAATCATTCCAATCCAAATGCACTTTACTGGAATAAAAGATAGGCTTAGCGTAATTGCTTTTTGCCTTGCCCTTTAAAATGGAAGACTTTAAATGTTTGTCCAGACACAAAAAGAAGAGTATGGCAATATAACCTAAATTGCGCGATTTATCTTGTTAGGGAAAGAATAGAAAAAGCAGAAAAAGTAATTTGAAGGGAAAGACGAATAAATTATTCTTTAACTAAACCAGTTCTTGTTATACGAAAAAAGTATTCATTGATTATTTCTATATATTATAGAAACTTTATAGCAAAATGTTGCATTCACATAGTGTAAAATCATGATCAGTGCAATAATTACAATGCTGCCAAATTTATTTATTTATACAAATTCTAGACATTTGCCCCTAAACTTATAGTGATTAATGATATTTCTTATAGTGTCTGGATCTAACTTCCCACAATATTTAAGAACAATAGAGTTAAAAGACAATAATGCAGTGTATTTGTCAATATAGTAACTATCCATGGACTTTCCAGAGTTAAAAAGAGTACTGGTTGAAGTATCCTTTAGTCGAATTTTAAAAAGATGGGTATTCAAACAATCGTGTCCGGTCAAAAGAGAAATAACGCCGCGGCTACAAGACGAGGAAAATCTATAATGAATGGCTTTAA